ATGTCACAGGGACATTGGTGACATCACAGGGGATTTCAGTGACTTCATAATGACAGGGATCACACCACAGTGACACCAGTGACATCATCAGAGTCATTGCTGACATCACAGGGGACAGTGGTGACATCACAGGGAGATGAGTGACATCACTGGGGATCAGTGACATCACAGGGGACTGTTGACAGCAAAAGGACAGCTGTGACTTCACAGGGACATCACTGGCATCAGTGACATGACGGGGACCAGGTGCCACAGTTCGGCACAGTGGTGACATCACAGAGACAGCAGGACATCATTAGGGACATTGTTGACATCACAGGGGACAGTGATGACACCACAGAGACACCAGTGACATTAACGGGGACATCTGTGACAGCACGGGTGTCGTGGTTTTGCCCTGGCTCAATTTACTTTTATACTCCCCATACAATTACTACTAGTTGAGAGAAGGTTTATGCAGACAAAAAGAGACTGAATTAAAAAAAAAGTATGAGTATTTATTATTAACAAACTAAAATTAAAGAATTATATTTACAATAATTTTACTTAAGTAAAAGGTATTATGTATTTACAGAAGATACTTCTTCCCTCACCTCCCTTTATATCAGTCCAAGGAGGAGAAGCAGTCTTTTTCTGTTCTCAGAATTCCAGCTCTCTCTCTCTCTCTCTAGTAACTCTGCAGCACTTTCGTCGCAGTTGGAACTTCTTTATCTCTCTCTTATTCTGTGTTGGCCTCCAGGGTTGGGCTTACCCCCCTCCTGGGTTAAAACCGAAGGCTGAGGGTTACCCAGGTCCTGAAGGGTCTCCTTCCATAGGCTTGCAAGGGGACACTTGCTTACTATGGATCTTCTTCCACAGGGTTACAGGGGATAATGGTTTAAGAGTTCACCCCTGTTTTCCTATGGAGGTCCCTCCCCATGGGAGAACAGTCCTTGATTGACTTCTCGGCATGGGTCTAGTCTGGATCCCTTACTCGGATCCCAATATCCCACCTGAGCCATTTTCTGCTCCAGCGTAGGTTCTCTCTAGCACCAGCAGCACGGATCCACACATGGATCCCAACATCCCTACCTGAACCGTTTTGTGTTCCAGCGTAGGTTCTAATACCCGTCAGGGTCATAAATCTTCAACAGCAGTAGCATGGATCTCTCACTGAGATCCCAAGCTTATCTGAGCCGTCTCGCTCCAGCATAAGCATCGATCCCTTCGAGGGTCACAAAGTCTTTAACAGGACTCTGCCTCATCTGAGCCGCTTTTACTCCAGCATAAGGCTTTCTCTCTGTTAAAGTCACAAATCTCTGGTGCATCCACAAGCTCCTCTGTGAGCCGCATGGGGGGGTCTTTTCACCCCAACAAACTTCTACAGGTGGCAGGGTTTTTATTTTTCAGTCTTTACCCTGCTGAAGGGAGAGAGAGCGAAAGGGAGAAAAAGCAGTTCTCCCCCTTTCGAACTTTTCTTCTCTCTTCTGCGACTGCAGCTTTGACTTTGGAAGTCCTCGTTATCTCATGGCTGGAATTCTTCTGCAGCGGTTTCTTGTCTAAGCAGTTCGTCTTTTAAACCTTTTTTTTCTTCACTCTCTCACAAGAGAGAAGAGAAGCTTCAGTGCTGCACCTGCCCCCCTCCGCCCCCCGGCCCAAGCCGGGGAGGAGGGGGCCTTGGCCCTCCTCGGGCCCACCGCGTCTCTCCTACATGGCTGCTGCTCTTAATTTCAACTGCGCCATAACCTTCTCTTCCGTTTTCTTGAAGATGTAATTAGCAAAGGCGTCACTGAACTTTTTGATTGGTTTTTTGTCCGGAAATCACCTGGACAAAACCATCCTCAGCCCCAGGGATGGGCTGGTGGGCAAAACCACGACAACGGGGGACACTGGTGACTTCGCAAGGCCGGGGTGACATCACAGAGAGACCAGGTTTGTCTGGTTCTTTTTGGTCCTCAGGTCTACCCAGTTCTTTTTTTGCCCTCAGGTCTACCTGGTAGTTTTTGGCCCTCAGGTCTGTCTGGTTCTTCATGGCCTTCACGTCTGTCTGGTTCTTTTTGGCCCTCAGATCTACCTGCTTCTTAATGGCCCTCACGTCTTTCCGGATCATTTTGGCCTTCAGGTTCGTCTGGTTCTTTTTGGCCCTTGGGTCTGTCCGGTTCTTTTTGGTTTGCAGGTCTACCCAGTTCTTTTTGGCATTTTGGAACCTGGTGGAATAAGAGGAACCTCGAAGCATTTTGGGAACCTCAAGGAACAAAAGGAACCCCAAAATGTTTTGGAACCTCACAGAACACAAAGGACATCTGGAGCAACAAAGGAACTCCCCAACTTTTGAGGGTTCTGGGGATCACTCACCATGTTCAGTCTGTTGGGAGGTCTCCTGTGTTTTGGGGGGTCCCCCCTCTCTGGGGTTCTGCCTTTTCTGGGCTGCTGAAGATCCTGGGAATCACGGGGGGTCCCCCCTTGATGCTGAAAAAGCCCCGGAACGATGAATTGCTCAGAGAACTCCCCCATTAGGTGACCTGAATCCTTCAAGCCTGCAAAGTCCTGGCTCTGGGCCTTCTGTATCCCATTGCAACGTCTCATTTACCTGATTTATTCTTCCAGCAGAGCAGGCAGAGCAAACAGGACAAGCTCTACCAGCTGAACCCTTGTTAACTTTTGGGGTTTTTTGGTGGCTTTTTGGACATCACCCTCTCGGAGCCCCCCCCGTTTCAGGGTCCGGGGGTCCCCGGCCCCCCCACCCCTCTGTGCTCACCCTCTCCATGTTTCCCCTCCCACCTCCCCCTCCCCCGCCCCGGCTGCTGGGGGTCCCCAGCTCTGCTTTGGCCCCTCTCTGCTCCCCCCACTCCGGCGTCCCTAAAACAGGGTGTCATCGCGTCCCCCTCCCCCGCCGGGACCGGGCTGACCACGGAACACCAACCCCCACCGCGGGGGCGTCCCCGCATCCTCCCGCCCACCCCTCGGCTCTGCCGGGAACGCACACCGGGATCCGCCTCCCCTCGAAAAAAAAAAAACCAAACAAAAAAACCCAAACCTCCAGGAGTCCCCCTAAGGTCCTCCCGAGGGGCATTTGCGGCTCAGTTTCGGACCTCCAAACATCCCCCGCCCCCAGAAACCACCCGGAGGCCCCTCCCCAAAATATCTGAGAGGAGCTCTCCCTCCCCAGCGGCAGCGTGAGGGATTGGGGGGAAGATGCTCCTCCTCTCCCTCCTCCTCTTCCTCTTCCCGCCCCTCCTCCCGCTCCTTCTCCCCCCTTTCCGTAAGTTTGGGTTTGGGGGGGGAATGGATGGGAAAAAGGGAGAGGGAAGGAAGAAAGGGGAGTGGGACCCCCAAAGAGAGCGAGAGAGGGGGAGGGACCCCCAAAGAGACCGACCGAGGTGAAGGAGGGGAGGAAGCCGGCGTTGATGGGGGGGGGAGGGGTGGGCGACGGGAAAAGGGTGGGGGAATTGAATAATTCCCCCATGGGGGTCCCTTCGTGTCCCCATCGCTTGATCCCCGGCCAGGGGGGACCCCGGGACTGAGGTTTGTTGTCGATTCCCTGCGGGCCGAACAAAGGCCCCGGCCACGTGTCAGGAACTCTTTGATTGTCCCCAACACTCCCTGAGTTCCCCAATATCCCTCCACCCCCGCCGCGGCTCCCCAAAGTGGGGATATCGGAGAGAGGGGAACCCTGGGAGTGCTTTTTTGGGGTGAATCTTGGTGTTTTGGGGTAAATCTTGGGGCTGCCGGGGGCACAATGCTGGGAAAGGGGAGTTGGAGGGGATCCCAGGGCCAAAGAAAGGGGAGGGCAGGGATCGGGAGAGGTGGGATGGGGGGTCCAGGGAGAACCTCTGCACGGAGGTCGCCGGTGTCGGGGAAAGGGAGGGTCGTGGGGTCCAGAAAACGGGGTTCAGGGGGTCCCCCGGTGTTCAAAAACAACAACAACATAACCAAAAAGGGGGATTCAGGAGTCTGGAAAAGGCAGGAATGGGGGTCGAGGGAGTACCTGGGGTCTGGGAGAGGCAGGAGGGCCGGGAAAGGGGTTGTTGCAAGGGGTCCTGGAGTTGAGGAAGGGGGTGAAAGGGAGTCCCAGTGCTGGAAAGAGGTGCAGGGGGGTCCTGATGCCCAGGACTGGGGGTCCAGGGAATCCCAAGGTAAAGGCAAAGGAACTGTGGAGTCTGGGAGAGGTGGGATGACCAGGAAAGGGGGGTCCTGGTCCTGGTCTTGGATAAGGGGCTTCACGGGGGATCTGGTGTACAGGAATGGGGAGTTCAGGGGGTCCCTGGGGCACCCCAGGACCGCCCGGCAGGATAAGCCAGGAGTGGGGAACTGGGGAGACCTGGAGATTTGGGGGTCAGGGTGGTCCCAGGGTCAAGGGAAGGGAGAAACTGGGAGAGCTGTGGGATCGGGGAAGGGGCTTCAGGGGGTCCTGGGATCAAGGAAAAGGGGGGCTGGGGCTGAGGTGACTGGGGGATGGCCAGCCAGGAAACAGGGGGATGCAGGGACTGGGAGAGGTGGGATGTTGAGGAAAGTGGGGGCAGGGGGGTCCTGGAGTCAAAGAAAGAGGGGTCTGGGGTCTGGAAAACCAGACTGGCCAGGCAAGGGGGGACCCAGGCCAGGAGGAGGGAAGAGGAGGAGGAGCAGCCGGTGAGGGCTGCTGAGACCCCCAGAGTGGGGAGAGTAGAGAGGGATGGTACCAGACCCACAGGACCCTCGGCAGCCTGGAAGTTGGGAAGGGGGGAACCTGCAGAAAGGGGAATCTTGGGAGTCCAGGAACCCTTAAATGGGGGCCTGGAGAGGGGGTACCTTGGGTCCTCTGGGACACTGAAGTGGGAAGCCTGGAGAAGGGCGAGTCCTGGGACCCCCGGCAGCCCAGACAGGGGGACCCCAGAGAAAGGGAAGCCCAGAGAAGGGGGACCTCCGGGATTCGCAGGATTTCCAGCAGGCTGGAGAGGGGGTGAACCCAGAGAGGTGGGACCTCTGAGATGCCCAGCACCTCAAAGCAAAGAGTCAGGGGAGGAGGGACTCCTGGGGCCTCCAAAACCTCCAGCATCCCTAAGCAGGGGGACCCTGGAGGGGGGGGAAGTCCAGGACCCCCAGGAACCCAGAGAGGACAGGGACCCTGGAGAGGAGGGACCCCCCAGCACCCCAAACAGGAGGGACCTCCCAGAACCCCAAAATGGAGAGACCTGAAAGGGGGAATTCCTGGAAAGGTTTTTTTTTGGTCTGAATCTTTGAGTTATGGGGTGGGGGGGGGGTTTGGGCTGAAACTTGTTGTTTAGGAGGTTTTTATGGACACAAGATGCCCGGTAACATCTAAAAATGGACTTGGGCAGGAGGAACCCCCAGGCCAACGTGCTCAGCCTTTTTTTTTTTTTTCCTCCCAGCAGGATTTGTCCTTCCCCAAGCTTGGGTGGATGGAGAAGGAGGCTGCAAGGAACAGGAAGATGCTGCGGGCCCCCCAGGCAGGTGAGGAGGAAGTCAGTGCCCCTTTGGCCGTGTCTTGTGGTGCCTGGGGGGGCCACATTTGGGGGGGATGTGCTTGGTCTTCCCTCTGGACCAGAGGCAAATCCCCTGCCTGTCCTTCTTCCTTCCTGCCCCAGGCCCCGAGCTGAGGACGGAGAGCACGGAGGACAAATCCCCCCGGCAGAGCCTGCTGGGAGAGGCCGTTTTGAAGGGCTCCCCAGCGCAGGAAGGCAGCGGGGAGGAAAAGGCCTGGAGATGCCCCGGAGGAGGGCTGCAAAGCCAGCCCAGGGAGCTCTGAGGAGGAAAGACCCGTCCTGTGCCGGGAAGGCGGCCGGAGCTTGAGCCGGAGCTCGGAGCTGGTGGTCCCTGAGCAGCCTCCCAGCAGGGAGAAGCCCTTCAGGTGCTTGGAATGTGGGAAGAGCTTCAGGAACAACTCCAACCTCCTCAGCCACCAGCACATCCACACTGGGGCACGGCCCTACACGTGTAGGGAATGTGGGAAGAGCTTCACTCAGAACTCCACCCTGATCCAACACAAGCACATCCACACTGGGGAACGGCCATACGAGTGTGGGGAATGTGGGAAGAGCTTCAGGGACAGCTCTGCCCTGATCAAACACCAGCGCATCCACACTGGGGAACGGCCCTACACGTGTAGGGAATGTGGGAAGAGATTCAGGTACAGCTCCCACCTGATCCGACACCAGCTCATCCACACTGGTGAACGACCCTACAAGTGCTTGGAATGTGGGAAGAGGTTTCAGACCAGCTCAACTCTCCTCGTGCATGAGCGGACACACACAGATGAGAGGCCCTTCCGCTGCACCGACTGCGGGAACGGCTTCAACCAGAACTCCACCCTCATCACCCACCGGCGCATCCACACCGGGGAGAGGCCCTACAAGTGTGGGGAGTGTGGGAAGAGCTTCACCTGCAGCTCTGCCTTGACCCTACACCAACGGGCCCACCGGTAATGGAAACCTCTACGAGTGCCTGACCGCGGGAAGAGCTTTGGCTGCTGCTCCCACCCCGAATGACCCTGATGGTGAGGCAACCCCTGGAGTCCAGTGACTGTCAGTCCATCCCTTTTTACCAGAAAGGGCCAGTCCCCTTTCCCAGGGGCAGGTTGTGCCAACAGAACCCTTCTTGGGGGGTGTGTGGAGGTTCCTGCCTTGGCTGGGGCCCCCCAAGGTCACTGCTGGAGGTTGAGAGCAGAGATCTCCCCACGAGCGTTGTTCTGGGGGAGTTCCATCCCTGTCTAATTCTTAATTCTTTCTTTGGTGCCAGCTTGAGTAGAATTGCTTCAACAATTGCTTTAGGGTAGAGCACTGTCCTATCTTATTCTGTAGTAGTGGTAGTTTTAGTTTTTCTATTGTGCAGTAAATAATTCTGATGAAGATCTTTTGTCTGATCATTTGTAACCCTAAATAATTAATTTCTATCAATAGATCTGATTACCATCCTTAAAACCTGGGGGACAAAAGTGGTTCAGTCCCACCTCTGTAATTCCTCTAAACTGAAAGTTTTGGCATAACCCAAGGCTGAGATTGGATCCAGCAGCCCCAGCACCCTACAGAAAGTTGGGAGCTCAGGGGGCCACCCCCCTTTCCCAGCCCCTCTAAGTCCAAAGACCCCCATGGGACCATCAGACCTGCCTGACCACCCCCCCTTTTTCACCCTTCTCTCTGTTCCTTCTACTTTTCCATGGTCCTCTCAATCCCCAGCCCCTTCCAGATCAGTTTTGTGGTCTCAACCCCCACATTTTTCCCCCCTCTCCCTCCCCTTCCACATCATTCCCCCACTCCCCAGTGGGCCCCGGGTGGGGTGTGATTATGTTTGGGGTTCTTGAGGGGCTGTGGGGAGGTTTTGGGGGGTCCCAACACCTTTTGTGGTGAGCTGGGTGCCTATTGGGGGTTTGTGCCCTCCCAAAGCCCCCCCAGAGCAGGGTGACATGGGGGGAACACAGGGGAATCCCCATTCCCAATCCATCCCGGGGTAAGTTCTGCCCCCCCCGACTCGGCTCCACCCCTTGGGATCCTCCAACCCCACCCCCCCCTGTGCCCCCCAATAACCGGGACTGGGGAGAGCTGGGAAGCTGCCCCCCAATAACCAAAACTGGGGCAACTGGGATCATACTGGGAGCACCTGGGCCCCTACTGGGGTCACACTGGGATCATACTGGAAGTGACTGCAATATTACTGGGAGTGTGTGAGAGGGACTGCAGCCATACTGGGGATGAGTGGGATCAAACTGGCTTTGTACTGGAAATGTCTGGAAGCTTCTGGGATCATACTGGGGGTGACTCCTATCCTTCTGAGATCAAACTGGGATCATACTGGGAGCAGCTGGTTCTATGCTAGGGGCAACTGGGAGCTCTTAGGATCCCACTGGGAGGAACTGGAAGCAACTGGGACCATGCTGGGCACAACTGGGATCATACTGGGAGCAACTGGGCCCACAGTGAAGGTGGCTGGGGTCATACTGGGAGTGACTGGGAGCATTCTGAGGGCAGCTGGGACCATGTTGGCACAACTGGGATATACTGGGAGCAAGTGGATCACACTGGAGGTGACTGGGATCATACTGGGAGCGACTAGAACCACACTGGGGATGACTGAGAGTGGCTGTGAGCAACTGGGATTGTGCTGGAAGCTACTGGGAGGCACTGGGAGTGAGTGGAACCACACTGGGGGCAACTGGGACATACTGGGAGAGAAAGGGAGTGACTGGAATCATACTGGGACTGACTGGGAGCAGGCTGATATCAACTGGGAGAGACTGGGAGTGACAGGGATCCTACTGGGAGGGACTGGAACTGTAGTGGGTGAGTGGGAGCAAGTGGGACCCTGCTGGGGACAAATGGCTTTATACTGGGAGTGACAGGGAATGTCTGGGTTCATCCTGGCTGTGACTGCCACCATAGAGGGTGTCACTGGGATCCTACTGGAGTCATACTGGGAGGGACTGGAACTAGGTGGGGTGACTGGGGAGCAACTGGAGCCATAGAGGGAGTAACTTGGATCCTACTAAGAGACTGGGATCATACTGGGACTGACTGGGAGCATACTGGAGGCAACTGGGCTATATTGGGAGTGGCTGGGAGTGATGGGGATCATACTGGGAGAGACTGGAACCATAGTAGAGATGAAGGGGAGCAACTGGAACCCTGCTGGGGGCAACTGGGCCCCTACTGGGGTCATACTGGGGTCTTACAGGGACTGACTGCATTAACACTGGGAGTGTGTGGGAGGGACTGCAGCCATACTGGGGATGAGTGGGATCAAACTGAATTTGTACTGGAAGTGTTTGGAAGTTTCTGGGATCATACTGGGGTGACTGAAATCATACTAGGATCATACTGGGAGCAACTGGGACCATGCAGGGGGCAGATGTCATCAGCCAGGGAGTACCTGAAAGTGCCTGGGGCCATACTGGACTCAGACTGGGAAAGGAACCATCCTGGTGGGGCTGGGAGCAACTGGGACCACCTTGGGGGCAACTGGGATCCTATTGGGAGTGACTGGGAGTTACTGGGATCATAGTGGGAGTGACTGTAATGGACCAGGATCAAACTGGGAGTGATTGGAACTATGCAGGGGGGAATTGGGAGCCAGTGGGGCCATGATGGAAGCCAACTGGGACCATTCTTGGAGCAACTGGGATCATGCTGGAAGCAACTGGGAGTAACTGGGAGTGACAGGGTGCATGCTGGAGGCAACTGGCATGAACTGGGAGTGACTGGGATCACACTGATGGGAACTGGGACCATCCTGGGGCAAGTGGAAGTCACTGGGTGTCAGGGGTTTCTGTGGGTGGGTTTTGGTAGCAGGGGGGGCTCCAGGGGTGGCTTCTGTTGGGAGCTGCCAGAAGCTTCCCCTGCCCCGTGGAGCCAATGCCAGCTGCTCCAGGATGGACTTGCTGCCACTGGCCAAGGCCAAACCCATCAGGAGCAACAGGAACAGCTCTGGGATAACAGATTTAGGGCCAGAAGGAATTGCAGCCAGGGAAGAGCGGAGTGGGAACGTGGGAACAGCAATGCAGACCCCAAGGGCAGTGCAGAAGGAGGGGCAGGAGGTGCTCCAGGTGCCAGAGCTGAGGCCCCGCAGCCCCTGGGGGAGCATCGGCGTGCAGAGACCCCCCTGCAGCCCCTGGGGGAGCATCATCGGGGTGCAGAGACCCCCCTGCAGCCCCTGGGGGAGCATCGGGGTGCAGAGACCCCCCTGCAGCACCCAGAGGATCCCACGCTGGAGCAGGGGGATGCAGGAAGGAGGCTGTGACCCCAGGGCAGGCCCAGGATGGAGCAGGTCCTGGCAGGGACCTGCAGCCCGTGCAGAGGGAAGCCCAGGCTGGAGCAGGTTTTTCCCAGCAGGACTCGTGGCCCCTGTGGGGGACCCAGGCCAGGTCAGCTCATCCCTGAAGGACTGACCCCATGGAGGAGGGACCCACGGGAGAGCAGGGTGGGAAGAACTGCTGCCCGAGGGATGGACTCACTGCAGAGGTCCATCCAGGACTGTCTCCCTGTGGGAGGGACCCCAGGGGAGCAGGGAAGGATCCAACTCCTCTCCCTGAGCAGTGACAGAAACAACAACTGACTGTAAAACCCACTGCCGTCCCCCTGCGCCGCTGGGGAAAGGAGGGAGAGCTGAGAAGGAATGAGGGGTCAAGGGAAGGTGTTTTTCAGACTGTTTTATTTCTCACTCTTTGGCTTTTATCCTGTGAGTGATAAATTTAAGTACTATCCCTACTTTGAGTCTGTTTTGCCCATTAGTGAGCAACATTCCCCCGACCGTTATCTCTACTCAGGAATCCTCAGCTCTTTTTCCTCTCCTCTGTAGAGTTGCAGAGGGAGGGGGGGGTAGCAGCTTTTAGTGGGTGTTTGAAATCCAGCCAGGGTCAACCCACTACACCAACTCCTGTGCTTGAGGCCCTTTTGTGATGTCAGAGCCTACCCTCTCTGTTCTGGAATAGCCCTTGGCAACCAAAGAACCAACACCCCACAAGGTCAGAATGCAGCCCCACCCATGTGCCCCTTTAGGATGTCCCAGCCCATCCTCTCCATTCTGGAATAGCCCCTGGAAACCAAAGAACCAACGCCCCACACCCCCACAGTGCAGCCCCACCCATCTGCCTTGGGACTCTTTGTGAGGTCACGGCCTTTCCCCCAGGAGAGAAAGCCTGTAACCTTTGGGTTTCAGGTGCAGTTGGATCCTTGTATAAAAGACAATCCTACATTAAACCGCGGGCTATCTCACTAGGATCAA